ACACACACACACAATACACACACATACACACACACACACACACACACACACACACACACACACATATATATACACAGAGGGAGAGAAATACATAAAAGTTGCACCACAACATAGATTAATCACAACATTAGGCACATAAATTTTTATTAAAATACAGGGGATGCAGATTGTATCTTTTCGGCGCCATTCTATTTTGAAGTCTAAATCACAAAAATTAATGAATCTAATTAAATGAAAAGAATTGTTTTTTCTTTTTCTTATTTCCTTGAGGTTTGAGGATTGCGCTGTTCTCTGCCCCTTCTAGTTCCATTGACTGTTTTCACTCGCAAACAAATCCCATTCAACCACGGGATTGTGAACTATTCACCCCATTCAGAAGCACTGGAATGGACCACGAAGAAAAATGAAGACCACGAGTTGTTTCTAGAGGCCAGAATCTCCACAAAAACCGTCTAAAACTCATTAACCGCTGCCTGGCCAAGAGGCCTGGCCTTCTGGTCCTGTCTGTAACGACGTCTCCGCGGTTTTCCCCAAGTACGGCCAAACTTAGACCAGCACTTGTCCAGGAAGCCGGTGTCGAGAGAGATAGGAAGAGAGGCACGTTTGCTGTTTAAAGAAGAGCCCCGAAAAACGTCAGAGGGCCCTCAAAGGAGACGGCACACAGGCGCGCGTCAAGGGGCGACAACAAGGGGTTTGAAGGTGCTTCTTCATCTTTTCTTTTCTTTTTCTTTTTCTTGTTTTCTTTCTTTTTTTTTTCTTTTTTTTTTTTCTTTTTTTTTTAAATTTCATCGCTGTATTTTTCAAGGAGTCTACAGAGCCATACTTTTTAATCAACGAAGAAATCGGTTCAGGTTAGGTCTGAAGTCTATAAATGTCGTTCTGTTTGGAAGTGCTTCTTTTTTTTTCCATTTTCCATTTTGTCTTGTTTTGTCATGTTTGTTTGTTGTTGCTTTGGAGAATGTTTTCGGGGGGGGGGGGGGGGAGTTCGTTTGGATTGTTTTAATTATCTTTTTTCCTGGTTTGAGGAGGTGAGGGTATTTTTGGTCGCCTTCAAACACCAACAAATGAAGGATTGACTATGTTGAAAGAGAGTGAGGGAGATAGAAATAGAGAAAAAGATAGAAAAAGAATGAAACAATGGGGAGATAGGGAAAAAGATAGAGAAAGAGAGACAGACAGAAGGATACAGAGAGAGGCACAGAGAGAGGGGTGGAGAGAGAAAGAGAGAGAGAGAGAGAGAGAGAGAGAGAGAGAGAGAGAGAGAGAGAGAGAGAGAGAGAGATCGCTTTTGCATTTGTCCTTAGGTCAAGCGTTGGAGATCAAAAAGATAAAATATGGGATTTGAAGAGTTCTTAACGAGAAGACCGCAATAACCAGTGGGTAGCTAAGAGACACTTCAGGCGTCCGGTTGTGAAGCCCATTCGACTCTCTAAGTGTTTAGTCCTCTCTCGGAGAAGTAGTACGGGTCTGCAAGCACAGACAGGAGAGAGAGAGAGAGAGAGAGAGAGAGAGAGAGAGAGAGAGAGAGAGAGAGAGAGAGAGAGAGAGAGAGAGAGAGAGAGTGAGATAGAAAGAGAAAGAGAGGAAAAGTATGAATCAGGGAGTTGAAGATTCAGCGTTGAAAGGTTATTAGTACTGTTGTGAAGGGCAATAAGCACACTGCTAGTGTTGTGACATATAAGTCTCCAAATTATTACTATCTATATTATTATTATTATTATTG